CCCTGTGGTGGCACACACCTTTAATCTCAGCACTTGGGAGGCAGAAGCAGTGAGTTCTAGACCAGCCTCATCTACAAGTTTCAGGATAGCCAGGGCTGCACAGAGAAGCCCTGTTTTGGGGAAAAAAAAAATGGAACTCAACAAGGGTTAGCAAAAACAAACAAACACCCCAAACAACAAAAACACAGTACCCCCCAATTATAGGCAGATTCTTACAATTTCAAATCAAGCACCAGGCAAGTGTGGTGGTACAGACTTGTAATGCCAGCACTTGGGAAATAGAGGCAGGAAGAGGAGGCATTCAAGGCTTACCCCGGCAACAAGAAAGCCCTCTTTCAAAAAAAAACAAAAACAAAAACAAAACGAAGCAAAAATAAATTAAAAAATAAATAAGGATCCCTAAAGTCAAAATGAAGGGGAAAAAAACCCTCACAAAACATTTAAAAGATGTAAATGTCAGTTTCACGGGTAAATCCTAGCAGTGGGGGGTGGGGGGAGTGTCTCCTAAGCGGAAAATTGTTAGCGTTTGTGTGTAGATTTTGCTCAGTGTTGTCTCTATTGGGGAAAAAAATGGAAATAACCTAAATGTCCTACAACAGGGTATTCATTGGGTAAATTTTTATTTATCCTTATGACAGAAAACAGGTACCCATCACTAACAATGCTGCGGACGGGCATTCCAGGACATGAGCTGACTTTCATTATGCATACCCACACAGGTATTTTAATGTATTTTCTAGTCTCCTGATGCTTTCAACGGGGTCTCTGTGGGCTGCAAGAGTTACAAAGTTCCTCTCCCTAATCTCACTTTGAATTTTCCAATGGCGTCGTCGTCGTCGTTGTCGTCGTCGTCGTCGTCGTCGTCAGGCTGTCTCAATACAGGCATCTATCTGCTGCCCAGCAAGCAGGTGTCACACGCTGAGTCACTTGTTCAGAAGGTCTTGGTCCCTGCAGAAATTCTCACCCTCATTTGCCACTTCAGATACCCCAGATCTCACCTCCCTATTCACTCCAGAGTCTCAGTACCTTCCTCCAAGGTCCCTACTGCTATCTTGACTCTCCTAGCTCCTCAGCCTCTTCTAGGAGCCAGAGAAATGATTGGCAGGTACAATCATTCATCAATGGATGTATTACAGCTTGCTTGCGACCCTCCAATGGGGTGCTGTCCCAGAGGGGCAGCTAGGGCAAGGAAAGTGATGCAAGGGGATGACACCACAGAAGGTTGATTTACGTGTGAGTCAGAAGCTGTGAGGAAGGGAAGGAAGAAGCCTGAGGGGCCCGAGTCCCAATCGGCTGGATGTATTGAATGGTTCTGAAAGGGGGGAGTGTGGAATCGAGAAATGATAGCTGTGAAACAGCGAGAGAGGTAGATGCAAAAGAAAAAGAGATACAGGATAGCTATGGGAGGGATCTGGGTCAACACCACACCACCGACGACTGAGTTTATTACCCACAGCCTTTATATACCCAAAGCAAGGGGGTAAAAAGACCTCCCCCTTTCAAGGACATCATGGTTTAAGGTACAAAGTACAACACCTCCTTAGTACTCAAGACATCTGGTAGTCACGCCTAACAGCAAAGCATCCAGTAAGTATAAAGCACCTGGCAACCTAGCCTCTGGCCAAAAAATCCTATGCCTTACCGGGTAAAACAAGCTCGGACTCTCTGACCCCGAGTCAAGATGGAATAAAGCCGCACTATGGAATCTCTGTGGCTCCCCCGCACCAGAGTTCTGGATGGAACATGTACACACCAACCCGGCCACTAGGAGAACAACCTGGCAAGGTTTACGTGTGAGCACCAGTTAACCCACACAGCCTGTGCCAACCCCTTGGGACTTGGCTTCTTGTTTCTTAGATTCAACGCCTTGGCCACAATTTGTCTATGCTGCCCAGAACGCCTCCAGAGCCAGGATTTGGGGACTCAGAAATGACTTCAATACTATCAGGGAGGATAGTAAGTAACTCTCTCCCAAAGGCTCCGGTGAGGTTGTGGAGCTGAGGCCAAGTCTTAGTCACTTCTGCATTCCCTCCACTCCTTTGGTCTCGGTAATCCCAAGGATACAAGGGAGGAGGGTCACATCCGTCACTGCTAGAACCTCATGGGGTACAGGAAAGCACACCAGCATCTTGTGCCCATCACGATACAATGCTCTCCCATCACCGCAGACTAGCAAAGGGGCTATTGCCATTTGGTGGTTAAGGAAATTAAGATTCCCTGCGTCCTTCGACAGCTGTGCCTGCAGAGTCCAGGCTGGGAGTTCCTACTGAGAAGCAACTCCACATAGCACCTGCAGCAGGCTAGGCTGTCTGCCTCAATTTCCCAGAGCGGCCGAGCGACGGACCGTTGAGAGAGATGTCACCTACGGCAGTATAGGGACCGAATCCCTCCCTTCTTGACACTTCATTACCAGACTGATTTTCAGGGTGATTCAGTCCCGGGGGTCCCTTCTGGAGAGGGAAGCAGGTGTCCTGGAAACCCAGGAGTTAGAGGTCCCGGGTGGAGGAGAGGGGGAAGACTGTCACAGGAGCCAGCGGGCTAGGAGCGTGCAAACGAGAAAAGCCTCGCTTTCCAAGACAGGCAAAGGGGCCGGGGGTGGAGTGGCTTGCGGGGCGGGCCCGCGGGAGCCCCGGGGCGGCGGCGCGGGCCCGAGGGGGTGGGGAGCACAGCCTCCTTGTACTTCCCCTTTGCTGCTTAGCTCTACAACAGCCTGATTTCCCCGAAATGATGAGGCGGCACCGGCCAATGGGCGAGCGCAAGCGTCCCGGCGGGGGCGTGGCCGAGCCCGGGCCGGGGAATCCCGCTAAGTGTTTGGTTTTCTCGGCTGCGGCGCCACGGACTCGCCAGTGCGCGCTACTCCTTCGTCGAGGTAGGACGTGTTCTGAGACTGAGCGGAGCGGAACCCGGCTGAGCCAAACCAAGGTCAGCGGACCCCAGCATCCCTGGCATCGCTCGCTCTCTGCGCGCATCGCGTACCTACACCGCAACCCGTGCCTCACTCTCTCGGGTACCCTGCGTGGATCCTCCTGCTGCAAAGGTGAGCCCGTCGGGGCTGCGCGGGTACCGACGGGCGGCGTGGAACAAAAGGCGCGCGGGACACCAGGAAGTGGGGGCCATGGACACCCTGGGCCGGGGTGGCGCGCGGGCTCGGAAGGGCGCTGCAAGCGAGCGGGCGGGAGGCGGGCCGCGGCGTGCACCGCCCCCTGGCTGCGCTCGGCGGTCTGCGTACGCGGAGCCGCTGCGGGGCCTCTCGGTGGCCCAGAGCGTCCGTCGCGCGCATCCGCGAACAGTGCTGGGGGGTCTCGGACGTGCGCCCGCGCACATTTTTGGCGGTCGTAGCTTGGCGCCTGGGCCCCAGGTTTCGGACCCACGGTGCTCGGTGGCAGAGGTTGGCTCGCTGCCCCGAGTGGCTGGACCCCGTCGTGAACTAGCAGGGGTTTCGGGAGGAGGTGCCACAGGTGTCGCTTGCGCCACTTCTCTTTGCAGCAGGGGAAACCAAGCCGGAAGGGGTTGCGCCTCAGCCTATGCGTTGTGGGCACGGGCTGTCAGAGGGGGCATAGACTGGATTGGGGGGTGTTGGGGGAAGTGCCCGGGATGGAGAGTGACTTTCTTGTCCAGCCTGGAAGGTGAAGGGCTGCAGGTGACAATAAACAAAAGTAGTCCCTTCCTTCCCCCAAAGATTGCACTTTGAGAGAAAAGTTCTGGCATTGAAATGTCTGTATATTTGGGCTCTTTTTGCACATAAGTCCTGAAGCCATCCAGACTTTGTGTGCTTGTCCCCTCCTGAGACTGGCTGGGAGAGGGTGAGAGAAGGGGCAGGTGGTTTTGCCCACAATGGTGGGGAGATTTGGAGAGCAGTTCCATTCTGTTGCAGGGTCCCTTCTCTATGACTGTAGGACCTGGTACCTGGCTGATGGCAGGGGGAGGGTAATGACCAGGGTGTGAGGGCAGGGGAAGGTAATTGAGTGGCTTGGGTGGAGCGGGGCAGTGCCCAGGACTGTTTAACAGACTTCCAAACACAGACCTTCCGTCTTCTCCCTCCAGCCGCCATGCCTATCACTCGGATGCGAATGAGACCCTGGCTAGAGATGCAGATTAATTCCAACCAAATTCCGGGGCTGATCTGGATTAATAAAGTGAGTGTTACTCTGGGTCTTTCTGCCAGTTTTAAACCATGTCCTCTTGGGGACCAGAGTTTCACTAGTGGATAGGAGAACAGGAAGATGTATTTCCCAGTGGGTGCTGTATGCCAGGATGTGCAAGGTCGGACTTGTCCTCCTGTGTTTTCCTTCCTGAAGCTGTGGCCAGTCCCCCCCACCCCAGAGGCACAGTTCTCAGCACTAAGACTCTCAGCATCTGCAGAGCGAGAGAAACTTGCTGTGCACATAATATGATACACGGCCCCAGCTGGATTGACAGGCGATGCTGGGCAGGAACCTGACTGGCTCAGTAGGGGACCCCACTTACTGTGGCCCAAGAAGCCACAGCTGGTACACGGCAGTGGAGACCACGTAGACTTAGCAACAGTACTAGCATTGGTAATAATAATTACCAATATGTGCTTGGTCCCCGTCTAAATAGGTTACCAATTTTGTGCATGTTAATCTTCATCGTCATTCTGTGAGACGGGTCTCAGATGAGGAAACTGAGGCACTTTATGGCAGATTACAAGATCACACAAAAAGTGTGAAAGCCACCACTGAACTCAGACAGACTTGACAAAGTCTGTGTGGTTCGTGACAGCTCAGCAGGGAAAGGCACCTGTTGCCAAGCCTGTCAGCTTGACTTTGATCCCCACGTCCCTGATGGAAGGAGAGACAACTCCTGCAGGATGTCCTCAGACCTCCACAAAAGTGCCCTGGCTTGCAAACACCCCGACACACACACAAATTTAAAAATAAAACAAAAAAACCCAAACCACAAAACCGTCATCATTGTGGCTGTTGTCCCCGTACATACTCTTTTTATTAAAATTAAACAGCCCCCTGACATACCCCCAAAACCTTTTCTCTCTCCTTGAGGTACATAGGCCAGCACTACACAGGCAGCCAGCATCCATGTCTGGTCTAGGGCTCCCTTGGGGGTATGACCAGGACCCTATGAAGGAGCCAGTGGTTGCAGGTGTCCTGAGTAGACACTAATGCAGGAAGTTTCTGTGTTGCAGTGCTGTGAGCCAGAGAAAAGCATCAGAGACCTGCCAGGCCAGGGCTGGGGCGCGGGAGGTGGGGTTGGGGGGCTTCTTAGGGCTCTTAGCACATCTGCAGCAGGTGTGTAGGGCAGGGGTGTCTTCGCTGAGCCTCTGGTGCTGTGGCTCGTCAGAACCCAGACCCTTCCTGCCAGATGCAGAACAGCCTGTTTAAGGCAGTCAGGATGGGTCAATCCAGGCCAGATGTCGGGGTGAAAAGGGGAAGTCAGTCTTTTCCCATACTTGGGGGCTGGGCATACTCAGCCACAAAACCTGTGGTCTCTGAGCTGACACAGTCTTATGTGCACACTATTCAGGAAGAGATGATCTTCCAGATCCCATGGAAGCACGCTGCCAAGCATGGTTGGGACATCAACAAGGATGCCTGTCTGTTCCGGAGCTGGGCCATTCACACAGGTGTGCAGGGTGGTGGGGCAGAGGAGAGACCAGGGGAGGCCCTGGGTGGTCCTAGCTCCCCAACACAGCATGCAGAATTCCTGGAGCAGGGGATGAGGCACACCTGTGTTTCTCTAGGACAGAATGTATTGTTTTTAACAAGTGCTTGGAGGATTTATGAAGGCAAAAATCTTAGAAAGCATGCCTTCAGCTAGAATACAGCTGTTCCTGGAAGAGACAGTTGTGAGTCAGGGTACCAAAGGAGACTTTCATATTCTTTACTCAAGGTGCGGGCTAAGGTCCTTGGCCCGAGCCTCATCAGGTTGGTGGCCTCCTTGCAGCTTTTAGGAAATAGGATCTCAACCAAAAAAAAAAAAATAGGCTCTCAGTCCATTTCAGACCTGTTAGTTGCCCACTCTGTGCCCACTCATACTCTGGAAACATCAGATAAGCCTCAGCCTTAGCAGTCTCTGGCTGATGAGAATATAGGCCGGGAGACTGTCATGGCCTAAGACATTGAGCGCATTTTGGGACAGACACTCGAGTGATCCCTTCACATGCTTGCTGGATGTCTGAGCCAACCCTGGACATACGAGAACCCCTAGGGCCTGCCACCAGTGGTTTTTGCTTGTTTTCACCAGTATGGATGTCTGGGGTACATCCCAGCCCAGGGAGCAGCTGACGGATGCATTCACCCTCCTGTTCTGTAGGCCGATACAAAGCAGGGGAAAAAGAGCCAGATCCCAAGACGTGGAAGGCCAACTTCCGTTGTGCCATGAACTCCCTGCCAGACATCGAGGAAGTGAAGGACCAGAGCAGGAACAAGGGCAGCTCGGCTGTCCGAGTGTACCGGATGCTGCCACCCCTCACCAAGAACCAGAGGAAAGGTAGCCAAGGGCACAGGGTCCCCAGAAGGAAGGGAAGAGGGGGTGTGGAAGGAAGATCGGCCAGCCGGGGCTCACAGCCTGTTTGTCCTGCAGAGAGAAAATCCAAGGCCAGCCGAGACACTAAGAGCAAGGCCAAGAGGAGGGTGAGTGTGGCTCTGAGCAGCCGCGTGGCCTTGGTTCGGTCGGTCAGGTAGGGTGGGCCGTGAAGAGCAACAGGCCTGAGCTGTTTCCTCTCTGCAGCTGTGTGGGGACTCCAGCCCGGACACCTTCTCCGACGGACTCAGCAGCTCCACTCTGCCTGATGACCACAGTAGCTACACAACTCAGGGCTACCTGGGTCAGGACTTGGATGTGGAGCGGGACCTTACTCCAGGTGAGGTCGCCCGCCAATCTGGCGAGCGAGGGAGCACGTCGTCCTCGGTTGGGTCTGGGAGGCATCATGGTAGCAGAGGGTGGCCTGTTTAGGGCAGGTGGCAGGGTGGTGGTGCGGGTGTATTGCCGACTAAAAGCATGCCATCCTGACCTGCGCTTTCTGCTGCACCCTCCCCCAGCTCTGTCACCCTGTGTCGTCAGTAGCAGTCTCCCCGACTGGCACATGCAGATGGACATTATGCCAGACAGCACCAGCGATCTGTATAACTTGCAGGTGTCGCCCATGCCTTCCACCTCTGAAGGTTTGTCCTCTTGGGTCTTGAGGGGAAGTGGATGCTTAGAAACATGCATGCCATGGAGTTCATGGAGCTGGAACTGGGCACTGCTAAACCCAGCCCCCAGAGCACGAAAAAAGCCCCTGGGACCCAAGAAGGCAGTTCAGAGCTTTGGCGTGTTCCGGGCCAGGAGGGAGGGAGTCAGGCCAGATCTTGGTCAAAGGTGGCGAGCGCTCCTGGCTTCTCTGCCCTCAGTTGTCTGAGGGTGAGGAAGGAAGTGAAGGGGTGGGATTCGGCCTTGCTCCATAGCTGGGGAGGGTGAGTCATCAGGCCGGTGTCCTGTTCTGGAATCTCCAGGGCAGGCAAGATGCTGGTTGGGAGGCTCAGGGTTGGGGGCGGCGGGGCGGGGCGGAGGGGGCGGTGGAATTGCAGGGCAAACATGCACGGCCAACCTCTGCCCTTCTTTACAGCTACCACAGATGAGGACGAGGAAGGAAAGTTAACTGAGGACATCATGAAGGTAAATCCCTTTCCCTGCCGCATCCGTGAAGAGAGAGCAAGCCGGGGGGTGGGGGTGGGGTGGGCTTCCACATCAGTGTGGGCAGGTGGGGTGGGCTTCCACATCAGTGTGGGCAGGTGGCTGTTGTCGCTTGGCTGCAATAGCCCCACGAGTACCCCCGCCCCATGTGTTGGGGGTGCTGCCGCCTCGGCAGGTGGGAAGCCTAGTCTCGAGCAGGCCATCCTGAGGCAAGCCTCAGGGTCCCAGACAGCTGTGAGTCAATCCCCATCAGCACTGTGTCCTCCGCCCCAGCATGCCCAACCCTTCGAGTTTGGGAAATGCACATCAGGTTTCAATAATCAGCTTTTGGGATCTGTACTAAGATGACTTTTTAAAAAAAAAAATTTTTTTTTAAACTTTTTTTTTTCCTTAGCAAGTTCTTTTGCATTTTCTTTCCTTTTGCCGTTTTCAGAGTGACTAAAAGTTTTTGAGGTAGTTTAATCCTGACTCTGGCCCCGGGAGCACAGAACACGGAGATGTGGATCTAGTTCCTTGTCTTCAGCCTTCCTGGCTTGTTATGCTAACCTTTGCTTTAGGCTGCCCCCCGCCACTTGCTGCGTCCCCTCCCGGCGTTGAGGGAAGTCATGCAGATTCTGTGCCAGAGGGTGGGGATGGGAAGAGAGGGACAGTGACAGAGCAGAGGCCAGCAGGGCCGGGGGAGCGTTGTGCTCCCCCGACACTGACACTTGGGCCTTGTCTGGACAGTTCTGCATACTGTCACCCATTGTTGGAGAATCCAGTAATGTTCATGGGCCTGACTCGGCTTGGGGGAAGGGTTAGCTCAGTGAGGGGAGGGCCACAGGGTGCGGCTGCCCTGCAAACAGCTGACGGCTTCACCGTCTCTCCTCAGCTCCTGGAGCAGTCCGAGTGGCAGCCCACAAGCGTAGACGGCAAAGGCTACTTGCTCAATGAGCCAGGGGCCCAGCCCTCTTCTGTCTACGCCGACTTTAGCTGCAAGGAGGAGCCGGAGATTGACAGCCCCGGAGGTAAGAGGTCTCCAGGTCCTTACGGGTTCTGGGAGAAGGAAGAAACCGTAATTATGGAGACTGGAAAATGCTTGGAGGCAGAAGCAGATAAAAGATCCTTTTTAAACTGGGCCAGCAGGTACAGCAGCGAGGTGCTGTTCCATGCTGAGGCTGGTCTAAGGAAGGATGAGCTGTGCTTGCTGTGGACAACATGTGTGGGACTCTCATACTCTTCCTTATGAAGCTTTTTTTTTTTTTTTTTTTTTTTTTTTTTTTGGTCATTTTCTAGGGGACATTGGGATGGGCATACAGCGTGTCTTCACAGATCTGAAGAATATGGACTCCATCTGGATGGACAACCTGCTGACCCACTCTGCCAGGCTGCCCATTTCAGCCATCCCCTGTGCGCCGTAGTTTGGGTCCCTGACCCATTCTTGCCCTTCTGGATGAGCAAGGCCTGGCATCATGGTGGCTGTGATACTGAAAAGCTAGACTACTGTGGGCACCTTGACATGGCAAAGCGTAGCCCCACTGCCAAGCAGGGAAAAGACTACTACCCTCCTTGGGCCAGTGGACTCTCAGGGCTTGGAAGACCAGGGTCTGAGTTTTCCTTGTGAGGTAACGCTGGCCCTAACTCCCGGGAAGATGGAGTTGGGGTTATGAGATTGGTGTAAGGTGGAGGACATGAAAGCCTTGTTGCCTGGAGAGGGTCTTGTCACTGGGCCGGCCCTGAGGGAAACAGGCCAGTGACCTCAGAAAGAGCACAGCCCTGACCCCAGGGCTGGCTCTGTACTAGGAGACAATTGCACTAAGTGAGTCCTGTTCCCAAAGAATTGCTGCCCTTCCCAGCCGAGCCCTGGGATGGTTCCAGAGCCAGTGAAATGTGAAGGAAAAAAAATGGGGTCCTGTGTGGCCGGGCTCCGTTAGCCTCAGAGGAGCTCCGCCTCGCTACCTGCCCCAGCTGTGGGGCTCAGGAAAAAACTTGGCACTTTCTCTGTGGACCTTGCCGCATTTCTGATCAGAGGTGTACACTAACATTTCTCCCCAAGTCTAGGCCTTCTTCCCGTTTATTTATACAGTGCCTTGCCTGGTGCCCACCGTCTTCTCAGGCCTTGGCAGAGCTCAGCGAGCCCAGGGAGGGGGCTGTGAGCGCCTTGGCGTGACTCTGACTGTTGGAAATGCCACCTAACTACTAAATTGTGTTTGATCACATATGGATCGGTGTAAATATGTATATTTGTCTTTTTATAAAAAGTTAATTGTTTACAAGGCGTGCGGCTTTTTACTTAGAAATTGTAATCTGTTTTCCTTTTTATGGAAACATTCTGATGGGAATCTTTGTTGGCGCTCTGGCTGAGCTCTGGCTGAGCGTTGACATGCATCTGTCATGAATCTTTCCACTTATGGTCAAGAAGGTGGCAGGGGGAAGGAGTCATGCCATGTCACAGGGACATGCCCATTTATACTCATTGGCCACAGGATGGAGTTAAGTTTTTATTTTTATTTTTTTTTAATTTTTGGTTTTTTGAGACAGGGTCTCACTAAGTAGCCCTGGCTGTCCTGGAACTCATGATGCAGACCAAACCCACAGAGGTCTGCTTGCTTCTGCCTGCTGAGTTTGGTTTGTCTTAATCACATTGTATTTGTTTGTTTAGTGTGTACGCATGGAGGTCAGAGGCCAACTCATAGGAATTGGTCCTTTAGCTTTGTGGGTCCCGGGGTCAAAGCTCGGGTCATCAGGCTTGGGAGTTGGTTTTGAACTCTTGGGCCCTGGTTATCTGTTAGGCTCTGGCATGGCCTCTGTTGTGCTGAACGAACAGGTGCTATTCCAAACAATGAACAATTGGTATGACCCTGACAATCGACACCAGTGCAGACAATGTCCCCGAGGCCTGCCCCACTAGGTCTCACTTGATGGAAATGATGGCTACGCTGTACTGATGCTAGTCACACCTGGCAACTAAGTACCTGAAACGTGTCCAGTGGTACATTCTGGAACTTGGTTTTTAATTTCGGTGAAAATCTCAGTAGCTCCCTGTGACCAGCGACCATGGTTTGGACCCATCTGTACTATATATATAGTACTATATACCCCGAGGTATAGCTCGGGGGCAGATCTGAATGACGGACGGAGGGGGCCACCGATTGCAGTCCAAGCCCACCTGGTCATTTTAATAGTGCTGAATACCAACCCCACAGCAGACTTTACATACAGCAGGCGTGTAAGCATGCACACGTACACATGAAGGTCAGAGGACAGCTTCCTTAGGTGTCCATTCCTCAGGAGCTTTCCAGTGTTGGAGACAGGGTCTCTGGTCCAGACCTTCACTGGGCAACTTATCGTAACTGGCTTCTGAGCTTCCAGAGGTCCACTTCCCTGTCTCCCACGTTGCTCTCACTGGCATTACCAACATGCACCACCACACCTGACTTATAAGGGTCCTGGAGATGGAACTCGGGTCTTCACACTTGGAAAGCAAGCACTTTACAGACTGAGCCAACCCCCCCCCCCATGCTGAAGTAGATGTGCCTGTGCGAATGCACACAAGCTCTGTGTGCTGGTGCTCAGTCAGAAGTGTCTGAAAATCATAGTTAAGGTGCCCTATGTAGCCGTTCTTCCTTAAGACAAAGCCCAACTCCCAGGAATGCCTGAGGGTGGGGAAGGTCTGGCTTCCTGGACACAGCTTTCTGGTCTCCTGTAGTAGGTGTACGGTCAATGCCTGGGAAATGGAGTTGTGGCAATAACAGCATCACTTTAGGAAAGCTCTGGACACAGCTTCCATATTCTCAGTCCCAGAACCCCCGGGACTGGTGAGCCCCGCACTGGGTCCTGGACTCGAGTGTGTACCCTTGGTGGGAAGGGAAGGTCAGGACAAAACTGGAAACTAGACAAAGCTCAGTCTGATCACCCTGAAGCATGAACATGCAGTGTGAGTGGCGGGTGGGCCCTTACTGGGTGGCTATCCTTGTCTGGGGGTGGCAGTGGGGTCCTGGATTGCTGGCCCTGCCCATCTGAAGATCCACTTGGATTTTTCCGGGATAGTCTTACTGGGCACAAGGATGGGGATGGATAGCCTTCTTAGTGCTTCCAGATTTGAGGTGGTTAGCCTCATGTGGCATCTACAGAGTTTTCTAGTGGGTGGCTTTCTAAGTAATGGTGGGTAGGAGCGGTGTGAAGCCAGCTAGAATGGACTGTGGAGGGATGGCGGGGAAGAAAACCATCCACCCAGCCAGCAAGAAAGACCCACTTGTGACTTCTGTCCTTCAACTGGATCCCTGATGGAGAGTAGGCAGTAGTGATAAAAGAAGTCCCAAGTGACAGAGGGACTCTCTCAAGCTCTAATAAGCAAAGTTCATCATCAGTACATCATCAGAAAATCAAAGGCATTATGCTATCAGCTCCCAGCCTCCAGATGATGGAGTCCAGATCTCCTCTTACAGATAGGACCAACCCCTTGGAATGTCCACAACTCTTCTTCTCCACCACAGAGCAGCTAGGTCCTGGGTCCTGGAGCATCTCTAAGATGAAGAATTGTCCTACCATGGATTTCAGTCCTTGCCTGGAAGACAAACCCTGTAAAACATGACTGTTGAACTAAAGGTGGCAGCTGGTGCCTGGAATGGGGCAATATGAGCATAAATCGAGCTAAATTTAGACCTAAGATAATTCTAAGGACTTTACAGGGCTTCTAAGGACCACACCTAAGAGTTTCTGTCTAACCACTAATGGAAGCTCCTGGCTGAGCAACTGGGAGGTCATTGAAAGATGGATTTCTTCCGGGTTGTGATGACATCATAGCTATCAAAGACCCATGGGTGGGGTTCACTGTCAAGGAGGTGGGGTTCACAGGAGAAGCCCCACTTCTATCAGTGCAGAGGTGAGGCAGGCCTGGAGTCTAGGCTGGCTTTTAGATGGTATGGCTGAGTCCTGCCCACCTCGCCATGGCAGTCCAAGTTCACATAGCTGAGGGCATTTCTGGTGAGTCACGGGGCTCCTTGCCTTGTCCCAAAGGTGGACCCAAAGGTCCAGGTGGCTTGTTCATTCGCTTCTCTGAAGAAAGAAGAAAGCCAGAGACGATGCTGTATCAGCTGCTAACATCTCCCGAGAGACAGTTTGCAAAGTGCTGAGATAAGCCTGGCTTAAAGGATGAGAGATTGCTCACATCCCTCTCAAAGCCAGCCGAGAAGAGGTGAGATCCTGGGGAGAGCTTGGTAGGAAGTGGAGTCCTTTCCTCTGGAAGCAAAGCACTCCTGTTGGTGGGGCCCAGTCCTGCCAAAAACCTACTCTTGTACAGGAGAGCGCAGTGTGTGTGTGTGCGTGTGCGTGTGCGTGTGCGTGTGTGTGTGTGTGTGTGTGTGTGTGTGTGTGTTTCTTCCAGACAATCCTGTTAGAACACCCAGGAAGAAGTTTTTGCTTCTGTCAGATGCTACTTTCTTAACTGGGACCCAACTCACCCTCCATGTAGAGGATGCGTACAGTTGGTCAGACCCCTGCTGGCTGTCCAAGAGGCAGGATGCAGGCTTGGGTAGGAATGAGCTGGTCCATGCCTTTTCCAAGAGCTCCCTGGCGGGGCCAAGTCTGAGGCCTCACTGGCTGGCCTTGTAGTTTCCTCGGCTCCAAGCAGCTCCCAGGAGACTCACTGTTCTTAAGGAGACTGCAGAAGCCCCGGCTTCTGGGGGCTAGGTGGTGAGGTCTGTGTGCCCGTGCCCAGTTTCCTTTCAACAGGGGAGTGGCTGGACCACTGGAGCACACGCATGAAGACAACATGAAAATTAGAGAGGTGGGCATCCACCTGCCAACCGCCTACCCGGGAAGAGATATCAGCAGGGAGGGCTCAGCTGGACTACCGCATCTAGCCGGATATGACAACACAGACAACTCACTTGCACCCCACCTCCTCCCAACCCCATCCCCTTGTTCCCAGACCAGAAATCAATGTCCAGCAGGCCCTAGGGGCTTGCCTAAGATGACTCGGCTACAGAGGCTGCCTTCCAACCCACATCTGTCCATGTCCAGAACCCAGACTGGTTCCACACCGGCAAGGTTCCTGAACGAAACTGAGACTAGCTGGGAAGGAGTAGGGTGCTAGGACCCTATGGTGAGAAGGCATTTGGGACTGTTGGGCTGTCTCGGCCTCCTCCTGATGCCCTAGAGTCTGGGGCCTGGAGTATGTGAGTGTGCTTCCCTGGGGCCCCAGCGGGGTGGGGTTTGGCTTGGCCTTCAAGAGAAGCAATGCTCTACCCATGCCCGGGAGGCCACCTGCCGTTGTTTCCAGGGCAAGGGCCCCGGGTTGAGATTCAGGCAAGGCTTGTAACTTGACCTCAGAGCTGCAGGCAGCTTGGCCATTACACATTTGCTCCAGAGGACTCTGGCCTGCCAGGGCTTAGCTCCCCGGGGGGTTCAAAGTGCGCTTGTCAGCCATGTTTCTAACTGAGCAAGGTGACCAATGCTGCTCTAAACAAATCCACTCCCGAGTCCAGTCAGCCTCACTTCCGGTTATGTACCTGGGGCCAGACCTGCAGCTCCGGTGACTTTGCTTTGTCTGGCTGGGCCCCCTGTCTCCTTCTGCTTTCCTTTCCTGAAAAGTCCCTTGAACATGAACGGGGCTGATGGACTCTGCTACCATGTTCCCCTGGTGCTATCTATCAAGCCTGGTTCTGACAGGCGCCCAGACTTCCACAGCACAGTCACACACACTGAGCTTACCTCTGCTCATGAAGGAATGCACCAGGACCTACATCAGGAGAAGGCCCCAGGGTGGGTGTGAGGACGCAGAAAGGCCTCTCTGAGGAAGCTGACTTCGTGGACTGAGGGAGTTATGTAGATGTGGAGGTGGGTTCCATAGAGAAGGCAATCATTAGGTCAGAACCATGATTCCTTATTCAAAACTATGAGCAAGTTCAGGCATGGCAGCATACACCTTTTATCCCAGCACCTGGGAGGCAGAGGCAGGTTGATCTCTGTGAGTTTGAGGCCAGCCTGGTCTACAGAGTAAGTTCTAGGCCTGCCGGCATGCTAGCCTGCCAGGGTTACATAGAGAGACCCTGTCTCAAACAAACAAAATAAAACAGCAGCAAACCCCCAGTATGAACGAGGCAAGAAGTCCTGTCACGTTGGCCACGTCAGAACCGTGTTAGGCTGGGGTTGGGGCTGCAGATGCTGCCTGTGGGAGGTGGAGGGGTCACTGTCATAGCTGGGGACCCAGGGTTCCCCTCCAAGTGCTCTTGCTAGCTTGCTGGAATGCAAAGGGGAGCCACATGTCTGCGTGAC